AGTTGTTTCCGACCCATGGTGACCCTGTATAGGATTTCCAAGGAGTGGTTGGTAAGCTTGAACCACCAACCTTGTGGTTCAAACGACTTCGCAGTTCAATGCATTAGCCCACAGCGCCACCCCAGGACTCCAGATGCTGTAGGAGCCCCTATAGTTTTGTTCCTGGAGATCGGAGGTTGGCTTCATCCTGCCATCCCAGAGGCTCTGCTTAGTAACCAGGGTAATATGAGCTCAGCCACCTTTCTCTCCTCCACTGCCTTACAAGCCACCGACCGCCTTTCCTGTTCTCCGCTGTACTGGGCCAGCGTTTGCGCACATAGTGCGTGAGCGAGAGTGTGTGTGTGTGAGCATATGACTGTGGGTTTGTGTGTGTGCATGTACATGGGTGTAGTTGTGTGTCGGTGTGACTGCATGACTGAATGTGCGTGTTTGTGATTGCATGTCAGACTATGTGGCAGTGTATGAGTAAGTGTACATGTGTGTGGTTGTATGTCAGGCTGGCTATGTGGATGTACATGTGTGTAGCTTTTTGTCAAATTGAGTGAGTGTACATGTATATGGTTGTATGTCAGACTAGCTGTGTGGATGTACGTGTGTAGTTTCATGAGTGATTGAGTGAGTGTACATATATGTGGTTGTATGTCAGACTTGATGCACTTAACAACAACAACAATGTCAGACTGGCTGTGTGAATGCACATGTGTAGTTATGTGTCAGACTGTGTCTGTGTGGATGTAGATGTACATTGTGTAGTTTTATGTCAGATTGAATGTACACGCATGTGGTTGTATGTCAGACTGTGGCAGTGTGGATATACATGTGTGTAGTTTTATGTCAGATTGAGTGAATGTACAGACATGTGGTTGTATGCCAGAGTGTGTAGCTCTGTGGATGTATATGTGTGTAGTTTTGTCTGAGTGAGTGTACATGTATGTGGTTGTATGTCAGAGTGCATAGTGGTGTAGATGTACCTGTGTAGTTTAATGTCAGCTTGAGTGAGTGTACATGTATGTGGTTGTATGTCAGAGTGCGTAGCAGTGTGGATGTATGTGTGTCGTTTAATGTCAGATTGAGTGAGTATACATGTATGTGGCTGTATGTCAGAGCGTGTGGCTGTGTGTGAGACTGTGCGTGTATGTAGGAACCACAGGAGGGATTGCTATGATCCTGTATCTCTGAACTCTTTAGACCACCCTGGAAGAACGGATTGACACCCTGGAGAAGTACATCAAAGAACGGGACAACCTCCTGGTAGTGTCCATCCCTTCTGTGGACAGGGCCCTCCATGGGGCAGGTGAAGGATAGGTCTCTCTCAGGAGTGCCTCCAGCCCCCACACTCTGCATGGCTCCTCAAGATGGGGTGGGGCACCGTTTCTGCCTCTCTGCCCCTGGGTTGAGGCCACTTGAAGGAAAGTGAATTCTCCCTGGGGCTAGGTCAGTGAGAGGCCCCACCTGATCCGCAGAGGCCAGCTCTTCCCAAAGCTCCCAGGGTTTAACTGGGCATTGCTGGGACTTCTGGTATTGTCAGGACCTAGTGGGCCGGAAGCTGAGTCTGATTCCTGGTGGAGAAGAGGTCACCATGGTCACCTGGGAAGAGCTGGAGCAGGCCATCACTGATGGCTGGAAGACTTCTCAAGAGGTAAGTAAGGTGGGAGGTCTGGGCAGGGATCTCATGGGGGTTCCCTTAGTTCTCTTCCTTCCCAAAAAGACACACATGTTGTCACCGAGTCAAGTCCAGCTCACAACAGTGTGCTCAATAGGGTTTCCAATTTGTCATCTTTATGGAAGCCGATGACCACCTCGCTCTCCCGTGGAGCAGCTGGTGGGTTTGAACCACCAACCTATCCTTTGGCCGAATGCTTAACTACATCACCAGGGCTCCTTTACAATTGCACCTTGTTGTTAAGTGCCACCTGGTCAGTTCCAACTCATAGGGTTTTCAAGGAGTACCTGGTGGGTTTGAACATCCAACCGTGAGGTTAGCAGTCTAGTGCTTATCTTACAGCACCACGCCAGAACTCATTGTGGGTGTTCATAATTCATTTCACCAGTTCACAAGGTCCCTATTATGTGTATTTTAAACCATTTCCCTCTAATCTTATAACAGGGCTCCAACAGAACATTTACATGTGTGACTGTTTTCATCAAGTGCATTCTTGGTAATAGATTGTGTCTTTGTAATTGCGCTGTTGTTAGGGGTCATGGAGTTGGTTCTAACTCAGAGCGACCCTGTGTACAACAGAACGAATCACTGCCCAGTTCTGTACGCGCCTCATAATTGTTGTTTGTGTCCATTGTTGATGCCACTGTGTCAAGTCATTTCATCTGTCCCTAGTTCTTGCGAAATTGACTTCCCCGGATGTTGCTCTAGATCCTCACCAGCAACTAAGGAGAGAATCTGTTTCTAGAACAAAGTTCCCATCAGTACTCGGTGTCTGCACCCAATGTTTTGAGTTGCCAACGTATTGGGTAAACATTGGGAAAACATAGTGTAGTTTTCACTTCCCTACGTGCGTTTTAATATGTCTTTCCAGCCTGTTCTGAAAGACTATTTAGTACAAAGTACAAAGTGACTATTGAAGAGCAGAGATGTCAGCTTGAGGACTAAGGTGTGCCTGACCCACGCCATGGTATTTTCAATAACCTCATATGGATGCGAAAGCTGGCCAGTGAATAAGGAAGATTGTAGAAGAATTGATGCCTTTGAGTTGTGGTGTTGGAGGAGAATACTGAAAGTGCCATGGACTGCCAAAAGAACCAATAGATCTGTTTTGGAAGAAGTGCAGCCAGAGTGCTCCTTGGAGGCCAGGATGGCTAAGCTTCGTCTCTCCTACTTTGGACATATTGTCCGGAGGAAACAATCGTTGGAGAAGGATGTCATGCTGGGTAGGGTGGAGGGTCAGAGAAAAAGAGGAAGACCTCCAATGAGATGGATTGGCCAGGTGGCATCATTGATGGACTCAAGTGTGGCGGCGGTAGTGAGGTTGGCCCAGGATCAGACATTGTTTCGTTTTGCTGTGCATGGGGTCACTATGAGTCGGTTCCGACTCGATGGCACCTGACAACAACAACAACAACAAAGTGACTAAGTCTGGACATGAAATCTCTTTAGGGCCCTTTGCTGAGGGTAATTTTACACATGTTCCTGTCTGTCGGGAGGCAGTACACAGATTGGCCAAATCGCATTCAAATCCTTAGCCTTTCTTCATACAAATAAAATCAACCTGATTGTTTCCAAACGACCCTCAAAGTAGAGGCAGAACTGCCCTTCCTCTAGTTTTGAGACTGTTTAACAGGATCACACAGACAGGGGCCGGCAGGCTGCAGCGAGGAGACCTTTGGGCGCCATCATGTGGCCATTTGGGGATCAGCAAGGTACTGTGGGTTAATGCTCTGAACTGCAAAGTCGGTTTGAACCTCAAGGTCTGCGGTTCAAGCTCACTAGTCATTCCTCAGAAACCCTACACAGGATGGAAACCAAAGGAATGGTACAGAGAAAGGTTTTCTGTGCACATGTGTTTGTTCAAAGCTTTCACACATGTCATTTTCATATTGTTTCTGGTGAGCCCCACACCTTCTCAGGGTAACGGCAGAGGATACCAGAAAGATCTATACATCTGGTTCAGCATGGTCCCTCTAGACATTGTTACTTCTCCAGCCATCAGAAGCTCCTGCCATTGAGCCAATGCTGACTCCTGGCCCCTAGAGGGGAGAACAGGACCACAGGGTTTCCAAGGCTGTAAATCTTTCTTTGAAGAAGAGCTGGTGGGTTTGAACTGCTAGCTTTTCAGCTTCTGCACCACCAGGATTCCTACAGAGGCCAGGAAACATCCATGTTTTGACAGTTGCTCATAATCATAAACAACCCCCAAAGCAAATGTGAAAATAGTTATCCTATCAAGGGGCAGATTAACCAATAAGCAAGGTAATCGCAGACTTACTCATTTGTTGTTGTAAGGTGCTGTCCAGTTGGTTCCGACTCATAGTGACCTGATGTACAAAAGAACAAAATACAGCCCAGTCCTACGCCATCCTCACAATTGCTGCTCCGTTTGGGCCCATTGTTGCTGGACCTGTGCTAGTGCATCTCATTGGGGGGGTCTTGCTTTGAATGCCTTCCAACCTGAGGGGCTCATCTTCTGCCACAATATCTGTCAGTATTCTGGTGCTATCTGACAGTATCTCACTGCTATTCATAAGGTTTTTGGAAGTGGTTCACCTCTCCTTCTTCCTAGTCTGTCTCAGTCTGGAAGCTCAGCTGAAACCTGTCCACCATGGGTGACCCTGCCGGCATTCAAACTCCCTGTAGCCTAGTTTCCAGCATCACAGTAACACCCAAGCCACCACAATGTGACAAACTCACAGATGCATGGTGGGTGCTTACTCACTTCAGATTAGTGAGAAAGCACAAGTAAGTCCGTGCTTACCTTCTATCCCTGTCAAGGACTGTGAGTTTCAAAAGAGGCTTTGATTCTGGTGGAACTGCTATGGAATTGATAGACAGGCATACCAAGATACATCATCTTTGTTTAGATGAAAAATGTGAAAATTGTTCACTGTGGATTAGTAAATCAGCAATGTAAGTCTGTGCTTACCTTGTTTGCTGGATAGTCTGACATTGAGCCATATGAAATTATTCTTGAGAAGCAAGGGAACCAAAAATAACCAGTTGCCGTGGTGTCCTCTCCAGCTAACAGCAATTTCAGAGGAGTGCATGCTCCATGGACTTTTTCAGCTGCTGAGCTGACCTTTTTGGAAGTCGGTTGCCAAGGAAAAGGGAACAAACTCTGGTCAGAGAATGATTTCAGCTGCTGGATAGACTGCATGAAAGTAAACACAGAATACACTTGAGCCAATTCCTATTTTTTTTCTCCCCTCGAACTTTTTTTGTGTGAATTGAGTGAAGGTTTCCCTAGCAGATCGTCAATTTCACATTCAATCAATGACAAACTTGGTTTCACCTCCACCACAATCCTCTCCATGTAACATCACCCATCCGGCTGCCTCCATGCCTCCTCCTTCCCCTATCCCTTGGAACTTTGTTCTTAGGTAATTGCTGCCCTTTTGATCTTGAACGGTTGACCATTCTACAATGTGTGGACCTCTCTAGTGTTGTTCCCCCACCCCCACCCACCCCATCCCACCCCACCCCACCCCGCCATATACCTATTTGGACTTCTGGTGTGGCGCTGTAGGATCAGCACTGGACTGCGAACCACAAGGTTGGCAGTTCAAACCCACCAGATACTCCTCAGAAACCCAGTACAGGGTCACTATGAGTCCGAACCGACTTGACAACACTTAACAACAATATATTGGTTGGCTTAAAATTGAGCCAAGGGGTGAATTCATTTCCAGACATGAAGGTGAACAAGGGTCATAGTCTTGGGTTCACCGTCTCTGTCCGACCAGTAAGCATGGTGGCATTTTTTTTTTAATGTTTTATTGTGAATTATGTGATAGTTTACATGGGAGAACATTAGTTTTACATTCATCCTATCATATATCGTTTCATTGCCATGGTTACAGTCCCCTCCATGCATCATCAACCAACCAAAGGTTATACTCTGCAAGCCTGCCCCCAGTTGTCAGCACACAGCCCTTTCTATCTCTGGGTCTAAAGTCCCTGGACACTCCATGTCTCCACGTCGTCATCTCTGCCTCCATCTCTGGCGTCACTGTCTCTCTGGGTAGGGTCCCGCACTCCGCTCTTCTCCCTTGATGGTCCCAGGGCCCTCTGCTCCTGGGCTGCAAAGTCAACCACTCCCTTCCTTTTGCTACAAAATGTCCACCTTTACATTTCCAACCTTCACAGTCAGTCCTGATAGTAATTATTCACTATTGTACCACATGAGTGCTATCCCCATCTCCTTTCATCAGTCCCGAAGCATGGCGTTTTTTATGATTTTGGATTTTCCCACACTTTCTCCCATTCTATCCAGGACCTTCTAATGTGATCCCTTTCGGAGCAGTTAGTAGTGATAACTGGGCAGCATCTAGTTCTCCTGGTCTCAGGGCCGTGATGACTGATGCTCACGTGGTCCTGTAGTCCATTGGACTCACTGATTCCAAGCATCTTCAGTTTTCCTCACTCTTCTTTCCTCCAGACAGGGAGAGACTGAAGGCTGCACCCTAGATGGCTATTCATGAGCTTTTAAGATCCCAAAGCAGGATCTAGAACACAGTCTTTGTGGACTATGTAATTGGCCATGGTGTCCTCCGAGACCAGGGTCCTGAGCCTCCAGACCCAGCAAATCATTCCCTCAAGGTGTTTGGTAATGTCTAAGAAGTGTTCATAATTTCCCCCATTTATGATGAGCCAACTCCTCTTGAATGCTTCCTTGGTGGGACCCTTTAACGTAAATTGAGGTCAGGATCTCGAGACTGGATATTTTAAAGGGCAACTATGGGCTTTGGGAGTGGCTGGTGGGTTTGAACCACCAACCTTTTGATTAACGGCTGAGTACTTTAAACACTGTATCACCAGGGCTCCACAGACCAATTGGAAGACAGCTGTTTTCCATCATAGACAAGAATGGAACAAGAAGAGCAGAAACAATGGGAGTGCTAACCCAGTGTGAAGAAAGTAACCAGGGGCTTTGGTTTTTATGTCTGGGAACAAGGAGTGAAAAACAAAAT